AAGGCTCTTGAAGCATTTTTAACAATGTACAAAAGTAAATCTGTTGGCATAAGAGAGAAGTGAACAAAAGAAAAACTGAAAAGAAACAAAGGTCAAATAGGCACATGATGACTGATTATTTGATTAATCTTGTTGACTTTGAGTCTTCCAGATACAAGAAGAAGAAAAAATGTTTTCTTCAATAAGCTTTTACCTTGAAATCCTCATGTTTTCAAACACAAGTGAGTTCTGGAGAAACATATCCTTCTTAATGTGAACCCTAACTTCTGAGTGTGTTTTGTAACCGCTTCTTTTTGTCATGTGATTTCTTTTGCCTACTACTTGCTCGGGAGGCAAAATATGCAAATCCCATCAGATTTATAACACTCTGTGCCTTTCAGTTGTTCATGTGCTTCTGCTGTGGTGTATTATTATGTTCAAGGGTTCTCAGCAGGACATAAAAGGATCATAAGTTATTCTTCCACCTGACAAAAATATTTCATTCTCCCTCAGTTTCAAAGATGGACCCAAGTAAAAGTGATAACGACGTGATTTATTATCATCTGAATGGATGACGGCGAGCTGATTGCTTTTGACGGAGCTTCATGCAATGCTGCATATGAAACAAAATATAAATTGACAGGGGATGCTTCCGATGAAGTAAAAAAAAGCTTTTATGTGACAGCGTCATGTGCTCATTAAACCATCCGCAAAACAGGTGATACAAACATTTTCATTTAAAACGACCACAAAGGAAAAACCACTGGACTTCATTCATCTGAAAGTGGAAATGAGAGCTGAATCCTGTCTGAGAGAAAAGCCCTTTAGTGAACTCTGAGGCTTTTGTTTTTGTTGTTCATAGTATTCCTCAAGTTTTTTTTTAGACATCTTACTAAAACTTTGTCTTTCTCGTTAATTACATTTGTTGATCATTGCATCAATCTCTTATATTTATGTGGCTATTCAGACTCTGTTTCCAGTAGCTCAACAGTTATGGATTAATAATATTGTCTTTTCCTTGTCAGGATTTTATTTTTTCCCTACACACTAGCCTGTATTGGGATCTTCAATAGAAAGACCTCTGATAGGCCTTGGTGTTAAAGAGGTCTGATCTGGGCCATGACAGTTTAGTCCAATCAGCCTGTTCAACATGCTGGTTTGACTGTCACTTTCAATTTTCACATGACCCTTTGGTCCTAGAATGGGGGATAAGTGGCAGAAAGTAGGACTGAAAGCTTATATTATTGGTCTGACAGCTTCACTCATCTGAAAGTAATGCAAAATGCAGTTCATATTTATACTCTGACCTTATGCTCAAACAGGGAATCTACTGTATCTGCATGTTAGGTGCTGAAACAAAGGCCCAAATGGTGGATTCCTGCAGCATAATTTATCAAAGATAAAATTGCAGATTATTTTCTTTCTAAATATTCAGCAGATGTAACTGAAAGAACAAGAGAGAAAATCCAAAGGAGGGCACTCCTTTAACAGTTGCTTTGCAACAAGGAGTTTGACTAAATGTTGTTTAGACAAAACAACATATGGAGCATTTTTGGTGCAGAAAGCAAAACCACATTATTTCACTTCAAGTGACCAGCAGGTACCATACATATGCAACATGTGGCTTCCTTCATATAACATGAAAAAATGATGTTCCTACACATGCACAGCTGATCATATTCTCAATATCCTTCCTGAAATGTTTTATCTGAGGCGTATTTATGCTCATGTAGGTCATAAAAGAAGAGCGCTATCAGTGGTAGTGGATGTGGTCATTATCAGACATGGTGCTAGACAGGAGGGAGGGGTTCATTGTTCACTGTGTGCTGCCTGCCCAATGACTGAATAAGGTGTGTTCATTGTTCATTCTCCCCGTTTGTGAAAGCTACGGGCTCCAGTTTTTCTGCCAGAGTTGTTACTGCGCTTACCACGGCCTGGTACACATAATGTGGTGACTATGAAATACTGTAATTTGTAAAAGGGAAGTAAACGAGAGAAATTGTTGGATCACCTCCCACCATGAAAACATCCACAATATTACAGTTATTTACAAAGATCCATATTAAATATCACAAAACAAGAACATTGAAGTTGTGCATGACGGACATGAATAAATAAAAAAACTATTATTAAAGTTTTCTTTTATATTTTTATTTGGCAACGCTGTCTCATTCAGTATCAGCCGCTTATCATAATTCAGGGATATCTGCATGTCTTTGTCATAACTCCAGCAAGTAAACATAAATAGTTTGTGACGGAGCAGTAAAGGTTGTGTATGTTGGGTTTTTTTTCTGTATAATCCACACTTCTTGTCCCCTGCCTGCCCTCATAATCCCTTGGCATGTGTTGGTGACATCACATGGCTACTGGCTCCAAGTTCTCGTCCCCCTGCAACTGTCATTAACTCTGTGAACAAATGAATAATGACTGGGAGACTCGCTGGCTCCCACCACTGACCTTGGGTATTATTAGAGTGACCTTTCTTTGGCTTGACCAAAAAACCTTTTTGATATCATTGCTGGAAGTACACTAGGAATGATGGCCTGTCTGCCGGTGGGGGAAAGCAGAGCATTACACATGGGGGGGGGGGGGTGATGCCTTCGGAACCACCAGTGTCGTGTAAACCTATACTTTGCTTCATGAATACTTAATTAGAGAACACAGCCTGAAATACCCGGCTCGCCAGTTTCCTGACCTCTCTTTACCAACAATGCACAATATTTGGGTTTAGCTGGGTGACATGGTCAGATGACGTTTCACTGTAAAGGAGAGCCATTTGGGAATCTTGTCGCAGTTAGCTGTGTGATATCATCTGTGCAGAGAGAGAGGAGAGGATCAGTCAGGTGTGGCTGTGGGAGGAAGCATCTCCATATGTCACAGAGATGGTTCTCATAAGAACATGCTGGAAATCACATGCTGATAGTGATCACAGCCTGCAGACACACAAGTGTGATTTATTGTCAGCTGCAGTGGTGGAAAGTAACTAAGTACATTTACTCAGGTACTGTATGTGAGTGCTATTTTGAGGTAGTTTTCTTTGAGGATTGGATGTCATTAAATGCTACTTTATATTTTTATTCCATTACATTTGTTTGACAATGTCAAATTGATTTTACGTTTATATAATGTGCTGCATGATTATAGATTAAACTACGCAACAGTGTAATCAGCTTTGCCTCAACCAACTAAATGAAAATGCTGCATTGATGTCAGCGTATCAGTCCCTCCAGGATTTCACAGGCTTTTTGGGATTGTTTTAGCTTTTCTACAGAATTGTGACATATGATGCAGCAGTTTTAGGCATTTTTTGTCATGAAATTGTGGGAACAAGTGAAAACTGCAAAAATAGTTTCAGGATTTAAATTTTTTTTTTAATTCATTCATTCAACTTCCGCAAAATAAGTGAAAGTGAGAGGGTGAAAATTGCAAAAATTCAAATCGAATCAGTGAGAAAAAAAGTTTAGTTTGGTGACATACGGTTCAGTGTTTTGCGTGGGGGAATTGCTATGATTGGTGAAACTTGCAGGAAACTGCATTAGCAAGGTAGTGCAGAATTCACAGGGATTGGTTAAATTTGCGTTAACTGTTGCGATTGAAACATTGCAATTTCCTGGAGGGACTGGTGTATCAGTAATAATAATCCAATAATATAATATATCATTTGATATACTATATGTAGGCTAATACTCTACAAGGGGCCATTCTGCATATTGAATACTTTTACTGCTGATCATATCTCTGTACTGCAATGGAGTATTTTTACAACTTTAAAGCAAGTAATGGTTGCAGTGTTGATACTTTTTCTCAAGTAAAGAATACTTTATCCACCGATTGCTCTGTAAGTTTTTCAGTAGGAATCTGTCCTTTTATCTGAGAAAACACTGGTATATAAAGTAAACGTAAAGAAGAAATATTAATAAGATTTTACGCACACAGTTATATACACCAACATTATCACTTAAAACTACAGAGTAACCTGGCTTTGACTGTATAGAACACTGGTAGGTTGTAACTGAGTACATTTACTCAAGTACTGCTTCATGCTACTTTATTACATTTCAGAGGGAAATATTGAACTTTTTATAAAAGATTAAACTACCAAGCAGAATATAAAAGAATTAAAACTTGCTCCACCTCGACCAATTACAACAACAGAATCTACACTTAAATGCACCAGTATAAATAATCCAATAATGTAATGGAGCCTGTAGTAATATAACAGACGCGGGGGTCTTTTCTTTAAATTATACTTTTACTTTTGATACTCTTGAGTAGGTTAGATTTCTCAAATAATACATACCTACTTAGGTGACATTTTCAATGCAGGCCTTTTAGTATTTTCATTTAGCAGGATTGGTACTTTTACTTCAGTAACGGATCTGAATACTTCGCATGGAAACGTAGTAACGAGTGAGGAGGAGCCTCAGAAAAAAAAGAGAAATGTATTTTAACGCCTGATGTAAACATCTGGATAGGCTTTAACGCCAACTCTGCCTCCTAATTAAGCACTAAGATCAATAAATGAGAGAAATGAAACTGCCAGATTGTTAATCTTACCGTCTGTAATGGAGAGTCCGTCCCTATATGAACAATAACAAAGACGTATAGAAGCTGTAGCTATTTGTGGCTCGGCGCAGAACGAATAAATACCTGAGATGAAAAGGTAGACAGAGAGACTGCTGATGTAATCAGTGCTGCCACATCGAGGGCTCTCCATCATTACAATCTGTGGATTGCAATAAAAGTTCCCAGAATTGCACTGAGCAACCCAATCTAAACCAATAGACAATCACAGCCTCTGATCTCAGTCCCAATTGAGACATATCCCAACTGAATGTCTCAGAAATTAGACCTACTTGGTGTGTCCATGATCCCGAGATAGACAGATAGCAGAGCAGGTGCTTTCCCTCTCTCTCTCTCTCTCTCTCTCTCACACACACACACACACACACACACACACACGCACCAACCAATAAGCTTCACAAAAAGGTTTGTTATTTACAACATTTATTTCTGTTGGTATAATTTTTACACAGCTTTGCACGAGCCTGAGTGGGGCAAATTCAGGCGCTATTAAAGAGTAACAATTAGTGGTTTGGTTGAAGTCACTGCGACAGAACTGGTCGACCTCTGGCAGCGGAGAACAGCGCAGTGGGCGATGAAGAGAGGAGGGGAAAAAAATCCTCCTTGTTCACTTGGGATACTGATGTTGTCGCCTACAGAGCGGCAAAGCATGTAGGATTCACAGGGTTAGTAAAAGTCCCATGTCTTATATCACCGACATTGTGAGAAATATCAACATAAATGAAGAAATAAGACCAATTATTAGATTTAAAGGACATTCCGTCGATTTATCACTGAAATAGTAATTTAAATAGACACTGTTACAATAACACAATTATAAAAAAATTAGCTACATAAAGGTAAAAAATAATACATTGATGAAAACAGCATCTCTCTGTCTTTAACACCCCCTCATTTAGTTCTCAGTAGTTAAAAATCCGGGGGTGTCAGTTGAGAGATGTGATGAGCTTGCGCTACGTAATAATTTGTCCAGGTAGCTTCATGTAGGGATCCGTTGTTTTCATTTTATTTATTTATTTCCTAATCATATTAATAGGTCTGCAACCTACATCTAAGAGCTCTTATAGCCTGATAAAATGTTTTATTTTTTACTATAAAATAATAAATAAATAATCATTATTTATAAATGTACTATTGTATTTAATAATAATAGCTCCATTTTCAGCATTCCTGCGGCTTGAGACAGTGTAAGGGTGCGTGTGTATCTGGGTGCAACAGCAGGGAGAGCAGAAATAATTCCCAGTGCACAGACACATTTCCTCAGGCAGAGTTCCTCAAAGCCAGACTCTGCCTGGAAATGAGTCGTGAAACACGGCGTACTTGGAAAGAGAAAACAGCAGGTTTAATGTCTGCCCAGCACCTGTCATGACTTGGATGTTGTGGACGACCACGATGTAGAGGATGAAGACGGCGACCTGCGCGACGCAAAAGGATGTAAAGGAGTGGGCGATGAACGTGTATGGATTTGACCTTTTCACGGAAAGTTGAAATGTGCTGGGCAAAGACCACATGTGACCATGATAGAAATCATCAGCAGAGCGGTAATTACAGTATAGTTTATGGCTGGCTGCCTTCGCCAAAAACAGTAATTGGAGCACATCTCTTCTTTTAACCAGAGAAAGCGTTCTGCTTGGAGGATGGAGGCAGTTGTGAAAGCAATGATGGATACTATTGTCCAAAATTTGACCCTCTATTAACATCTCTTGGCAGCATCTGGATCCTGTCACCATGGTAGAGGACAAAAGTCATTTTCTCAACATACCAAATCCCCTCTTTTTAAATGCCTCCCCCACCAATAAATGGGTGGAGGCCAGCCCAGAAGCCCAATCTCTTCCTTTATCACTCTCCACACTACCACCTCTCCATCCTCCTCTTTGTTTTGCAGGTGTCTCCAATTACCTGCTAATTTGCCTCTAATCTTGGCACAATTCTTAATAAACATGTTTATCCCCACCCCCAAACCAAAGTCTCTAAAAAACTGAGCAAGAGCAAACACATAGCAGTCTCCTCCACTGTGCTATTAAACAATGTGCTGATTTATTAATTTCAGTGTATTTTCAGTGGAAAGTATTTCAACCCAAGAGGGAAGTGTCTCTTGGTGATAGATGCAGGTTGTCGGTGGCATTTAATTATGAATTTTCTTGGTGAAAGATGAGTGCCAAGGACCAGTCAATTCAACGCAGACACCAAGAGAGAAAGAGTGTTGCTAAGAGACAGGGATGCTGCACAACTTCCATCAGGAGCTTGACTCTGACCTTATGCAAATTAGCTTCTGCCAAATCTTTTGTGTGAAAGCAACTGCGATGTCACTAATACCTGGACCAAAAAAAAATGCTGTAATATCTAGATTCCTCCTCAGAATGCAAAATGCACTTTGGAAAGTGTAACAACAAATCAACAAATCCAGCCCCCAGCGCACTTATTGGGGTTTTAATTGAAATAAAGGAATGACTGAATGTCTAAATGAAGACTGACTGGGGGTTGCTGCTATGAGCCATTAATTGAATTTGAAAAAGTGTTGTTTTTTTTTCCTGGAAACAATGCTCTAAAAACTTAACTAATGTTTAGGAACTTACATAGCAGTGTATGAAAATACAACTACACCCACGGTATAGCGTGGAGAAAGTGTATCTTAAACTTTAATTTGCCTTTATGCAAAAATCTACTGGATAAACCAGAAGCATGACATTTGCGGGAGACGTCTTGCAGCAACATGGATTATTCACATGTGACACATCAACACGGTGCCGATTTCTTGACCTGTATGTCATTTAACATAATGATAATGATGGTTGGAGGAGGAGGGAGATGTTAGATGGCTGGAGAGGGCAGAGAGGTTGCGACCTGTGAAAAGGGTTGTATCAGGTTGTAGCAGGTTATCTGAGGGCGCTGATAATGGCCTTTCAGACATGCCAGGTTTGATCCTTTCACCACTGAGGAGGGAGAGTTAATCAATAGTCTGAGCGGATCAGTGATATGAGGTTACTGTATGAGTAACTAGTATGCAACCATACAACAACAATTGCCACACTGGTTTAATTGGTTGAACATTTGACAGGGTCAACATGAGAAAGAGAAAAGATCCAGTTATCAATGGGGAAAATGTTATGAGCAATAAGTCACAGAGCATTGAAATTCAAATCAATTGCACTGTATATTGATTAGACATTATGTTATTGGCTCTTTATGCAAAAAAGACCCCACATCTGGACATTTAGAAATTATGATCACAGCATGCCCTTCCTTCACAGATTAACTTGTGGGTGCAATAAACACAACTTCAAGGCATAGGCATAACATAGCTATTTTAATCAAAGCTAAGTGAAATATAGATCCCTTTCCTCCTGTGGTTCTTCACATTATGCAGACACAGAGAGAGAGAGAGAGAGAGAGAGAGAGAGAGAGAGAGATACAATACACTACCATGTTCAAAGCCAACCTTGTCAATAGTACTCACAGTGGGCTAGGGGAGTGTAATAGCACTTCCCTGATTCTACATTGATATCATATAATCCAGTGTGCCCTGTTTCAGTATCATATTTATCTAACCTGCTGGGGGACAGGGTAAGGGGGACAGTGTTCCTGCTGCTAGGAGCAGACACATTACACACTGCCTCGTGTATTCTTATTGATTACTCCCACCCCACAGCCCAGGGACCATAATTTAACTCAGCAGGCACTACAGTTAATACTGGAATTCAAACATTCCATCTACACTTCAAGAGACAAAAACAATTGACACTTTAAAAATGTGCAGGGCCTCTCTAAATGGGATCTGAAGGGAATGGATCTCCATTTTCTGGTCTGTGCTCCCCCCCCCTCCCCGTCTCCTGCTTCAGTCTCCTGCCTGTGCAGTTACCGTATTGTTTCAGAGAAGAACTGCGGACAAAGTGCTTTAAAAGAATTACAATATGTTAAGGAATTTGTTCATTGTAAGAGGGACATAAAGATATTTGTACAATTTGTTTTAGAGCTTCTCATAAGAGTGCAAAATTTTATTTTAATTTATTTCATCAAATTTGAAACATCAATAATAAAGACTTGTTTAAGAGTAGGATAACATACAAACAGCTTGATGGCAGCTGTGTAGGCATGAGTTATCTTGCTCAAAAGCACAAAGGTAACAGTAGTGGCAGGAAAGGAAGATGTCTAGCTCCTCTGCATTAAGACAGTTTGAAACTTAAAGAGCAATCACTACATTGAAACTAGATTAAATCACTGGTCTCCTGTGACATTAACATGAGAATTTGAATCAATTTAGTTGTTATCTGAAAGTCCTCTATTCTGTGGAAATGTTGGTATTAGCTGGTTTGTTCTGGGAAATTATTACAATATATTGTCAGAGGGGCTTCAGATCAACTCATTATTATGACTTTAACAACCCTGGTTAACATGGCTGATCATGATGATAGGTTCGGTGAAAGTGGCATCCACTGACATTCATGAAGCCGTGTTAAGAGAGCAAACAGCAGGGCACAAGCAAGAAATTATGCTGCTTAGTATCAGTGGAATAGATGCCACAAGAGGAGGATATGGACAAAATTATCTTGATATTGGTGTATTAAATCTGTTACTTAAATATTTAAAATCACATTTTCTCATCAAGGCAAATGTATTAAATTATTTAATTTAGAAAAATATACAGTATGTTCCCAATTACATAAGAATTTCACGTATCATTTATTTAGATACAGGAACTGAGAATCATATCTCTGAGAATTGTATTACCTATACGATTACGCAACAAGACTGTAAATTATAATATTGAATTATCATCTGGCTCTAACTGAAACCAGCTAACATTAATAAACACACAAAATGGTAATCAAGTCTACAGGTAATGAAGGCCGTTACCTATGATTCAGGTAATCAATCTAAAGATTCTGAAATGTGCTATGAAAATGTGTATGTTGATTCAGAAAGTGATCAAACCTGAATATTTTTAAACGGATGAATCTGAAGTCCACACTGCCATGCTTTTTTAAACGCTAAAATGAGCATCAGTGGGGATTAATATGCATTAATTAAATTGACTCTGTTTCCTTTAATGAGAGGGAAAGGATTTGATGTTAATGCTGTTGATCTCACGGAGGCTTCAATCCACCTAATTAAGCAGTATTCCTGCAACACACTAAAATAATCAATAAAAAAAGATATTTCATCACTGCTATGGATTGTATGTTCAGATATTCAGATAATTAAAACACATCACATGCTAGCTCACCTTAGCAATGACAAAAATAGGGCTTTTCAGTTTGGAAACATGTTTCTTTCTTTTCTTTTTTTTGGTGGAATAATTAAAAATGCCTGTTTTATCTCAGCTTTTAGTCATAGTGTGGCAGCACTCACTGTTGCATCTGTGTGTTGTGCAGAGATAGAGCGTCTGTGGAGGGCCAGGGAGCAGACTCCAGAGATCCATCCATCTCAATCTGAGGCTACAGCTGACACCTTACAAAGAGGTACAATTAATAAGGGCATTATCCAGCAGTAGGCAACAATAGAGTCCTAACGCAGAGACACCAACCTCGGGAGGCCCGGAGAGGAGAGAAAGGGAGCGTGTGTGTTTATGGGTGGGGGAAGGGCGAGCCAAAGTGCTTCAAAATGGGATGCATTACAACCAATGTCTTCAGAACATGAATTACAATCTATTATAACTGAGCCTTATGATAGATGGTACCAGCTGCTTTGTGTGCTAAATGGGTCACTTCCAACAGCTCACCGTGCACTCTTTAGGCAATACATTTTAAAACTCTGCATCTAAAAGCGTACATTTCCGATATAAAATGTAAATGATTACAATAATTCATATTTTTGGGCTGTGTCAAGCACTTTAAGCTGGGTGCTAACAAATTTAATGTTTGCTGAATAAAATAATATTTTTAAGAAGTGTAAAAGACAGACCCTTTATTGCTGTTTGTTTGGTGACAGTCCTTCAGTTCATAGAGGCATCATAAGGAGGAAATCTGAGATATCAAATACAGCATAACTGATAATGGAGCTCTCATGAAAGTGTCCTATTAGTGCAGGTTGAGTGCAGCCCTATGGTTCACAGGGGCGAGGGCGGAGACACCGCTGCACTGACATTTACAGCAATCCAGGAGTTGTTTGTGGTCACTGGACTGGAGACAAGCGCTGAACCCAAAGGTCAGAGGTCGGGGCTAAATTTCATCCACAGTGGAGGTCCCTCTGTTGTAGAAGACAAACAGAGAAAGCAGCTGAGGTGTGAAGTGTTCCTCCTGTCTGGGAAATCAATCAATCAATCGTCATGTATAAACACAACCCAGACCAAAGGAATACAGAGCAGAATAAATGTTGGTATAAAATTGTAAAAAAAAAAGGAAGAACAATGAACACATGCAGATCAATACAAAAATGAACTGAGATGTGAAACAATAGTCTGGGAACGTATTCTTAAATAATGAACTCTAATCACTTCTAAGCCTGTTCCAGTTTTTATACAGAGTCAAGAGTCCTCCACAGTGATCGTTTTATATTTTCCTGCTCATTCCACGGGGAAAGGATGAGCTTGGTTATGGATTAACGCTGTGATCAATAACAAGATAGGAGTCCGGCTCTCTAAGCTGAGGAAAATTAATTCGAAATGCAGTCAAACTCTTATCGACCCAGAGCCAGGGGTTGCTTTCATTGCAGGTAGTTGATAATCCACCAATATTGTGATGAGCGGCTAATCTCTCATTTTAAATATGACCTCCACTGCTCATAATAAAAGTTAAGACTGGCCATCCATTTGTTGTCCTCATGGCGTCGGGTGTCGGGTGGTTCTTTGTGAGCGGTAAGATTTAGTGATGCATTCCTCTGCTGTGAGTGGTAATCTTCACTTCAGAGTTTGAGTCAATTAAGCAACTTAAATATCTTGATCAGCGGTTGATTTGAACACTGTCACTGTCATCATTGCTCCGTTAGGAAAAATCTTATTTTTAAACCTATATTTGTTCCATTATACATAACCAAAACATGTCCTATAGAATAACAGTGCAGAAGAAAATGTGACAGTGTTAACTTTTGCACACTTTGCTGGAGCAAAAAGCTGTTTTGTGCAGCTAATATGAGAACAATGTCAAGAAATGCATTACACAAATGAAAGGTTTGCTAAACATTCAGGGTTATCAGTTTGAAGTCATTTTCACCACTAAATGCAAGATTGAATCTTCTTAACTCAAATCAGAAAGAAATTTAGTCAATTATCATAAATGGAACGTCTATGTATTTGCATTCTTTCCCCACACAATTCACAAAGGCAATGCATAAATTGTTGTAACAATTTAATTTTCCTGAAACATCCTTTGCTTGTATTCTCGGTTAATTGGAGAAAAAAATTTGCAAAATCTGGTAAACAGGAAGGAAAACAGGCAAATAACTTTAATTTTCCTCCTCTTTAGTTTTTTTAGTTTCTTCTTCTTTTTTTACACACAGTTTGAGAATAATAAGGTCAACAACAGCTTGTCTTGTTGATTATGTTTTTAGGCAAAAACGGTATTGTTTTTCATGTAATAAGGCCATTCAACTCTCTACTGGGTCAATCGTCCTTTCCAATCACCCAATCAAAAGGTTTCCCTCCATGATACATGGCAGCACTTATGATGTGTCTTGGTCACCTCCAGCCAAACATTATGAACAAAACCTTAATCAGTAAAGAGCAGAGGAAAAGTGGTGTTATGCAAGTTTAAAATCAGAAGCAAAAACAAAGCAGGTTAATTGATGATCAACACAGTCTGACTTTAATGAGGGCCTGTTGCCCACGGCCAGGCCCAGTTCAGTATATACGGGACTTTCTCCTGACTGCTCTGCCTTCTTTGATCTTGTTTGCTTTTTCCACTGCTGGGACTGTCATTGTTGGTTTTAATTACTTCACCACCAAATGGTACAGATGAAAGATAGGTGTCTGTAATTAATAAAATTTCCATAAATTTGAATCACTAACCAGTCTCATTAGCTCATGCCTTTTGTCTTGACTGAAGTTCCCATGTCATCTTTTTCCAACTCTAACTATACAGAATAATATTACTTAAGGGCAGGGAATCACTTGATATGCACCATATTTTCTGATAATCAAATTTCACTGTAGGCAATTAAATGCAGCACATACTGTAGTCCTACTCAAATGACTGAGGTCAACTTGAAGAAAAATGCCCATTGTTGTATTAAACCATTCTAAAACTCTAAAGTCTATTCAATTAGTCGTTTCAGAAGAACACAGGCATGTGGATTTAATTCAAGCTCAAATATATAATCAAATTGCTGAAGAACTCATCTTTGATCATGTGTAATCAGGATCAGGGCTGTGTGGTACATCTCTGGGCCACAAACTAAATGAGTTGCAATGCTGATGGCACTTACTGGGTTGGATGGTAGTCAGCTTGGCAGTAAGAGAGCTGTGGTGTATTCACATGACAAAAAAAGGACAGTTACACAGAGGGGTATTTCATGGAGAAAACACCTGTTGTTTTGATGACTTTAAATATGTTTCCAACTTGGGCTCTGACTTAAATTCTGATCAGAGATGTGCTTTGAATGTGATCCTGGCTGGTGAAAGGCTTTTTCTTTTTTTTAAAAAAAAAATAAAGGTAAACATAAGAGCATTTTTAAAATGTATATGAATTTAACAAGTATCCAGCAAAACTCTTGAAGGTACAATTGTGAATATTTTTTCAGGCTAACAGCAATACAAAAATCATTTTTTATTCAGTAATTCAATCATCAATAATTCATTGCATTCCCGCATAAAAATTCACTATTTTAAATATAATAAAGACATACTTCCATCAACATTGTAATTCTTTTTCCTGTTTACCTACAGAGTAAAAATTGAAGCTATTCTCAATTATAGCAGACCAGGTCAGACACAGGGAAGCAAGTCTTTGTTGCTTTGTGACAGAGCTCTATAATCTTGTGGAGAACAGCCTATCATTACCAGGCAGTGTGGTAATAGAGTGACATGGATGCTATGGGGAGCAATTGATTCCACACATCAATCAGTAGGGAAACTCATCTTAACGATTGCAGAGAAGTGGCTTGTTTGTCCTCAACATCCTGATAAATGCTAACATGGAAGCAGCACACAAAACCTGCAGCTGAATTAAGGGGTAGTTACCCATCACAAGAAATTCATTAGTCTGGTCCGACTTTGCCCGCGTCTTCCTTCTGATATTTTCAAACATGCAGATGTATACTGAAGTTCTCCAGCTCTGATGAAATGGTAAAAGAGTAATTGCCTCTTAACAACAGAGTGAACTCTGCTTTTAATTCAGACCATTAATCTTGCATATCAATGATATTTTTGAACACTGCAACATTGTATTTAGCTATCCTTGTTAATGAATGATGTTACAGAGATTTTCATTCATAGGAAAATCAATGAGAAGCATGCATTCTTTAAAATGTATTTCTTGATATATTGTTGACTTTTTAAATACACAGTTTTCTTTATGGTCCTTTGAGGACTTTCCTTTTTTTCTACCAATGAAACGGCACTCTGCTGCATCGCTCTCTTTCTTCAAGATTTCTCTGCTATGTCTTTATCCTTAGACATCTGTGCTAGTTATTATAAAAAACGACGCAGCTGGATGCAGAGAATATACTATCTTCCACTCTAAAAGGGAAGGGTCCCACCTGATTAAGAAGGGCAGGGGAAAGACTTTGGCAGGCCAATGGGAGAGGTCAAGGATAGACCAGCCAGTTTCACTCCCCCACCACATCATTTTTGTATGACAGCACCACCCTAAGGTTGAAGTTCACAGAGACTTTTCATGAACAGAGTGCTTAACGTCAAACACAAGATTAAAGCGGGGGTGTCGCATCTTGGCAGGACCAAATGAAAATATCAACTGCTAAGCCCCCCTCTGAAAAGCCAGGGGACAGGTATCTAATATTAGAGAGTAAGCCTAGTTAGCAAAGGCGGCCTGCTGCTTTCCACGTTCTCAGTGGTGGTCAAAAGGCCAGACTAGCTTTGGAATTGCTTTATTGGTGAAATATATTACAGTAGAGGCCTGCAGAACTACCTTATTAAGAAGGCACAGAAGAGATGCCCTCATGACATATAGCAGGAACTGAGGACATTTCCATATTACTGAATAAAATACAATCTTAGATTCTATTTTATTTGCTGCGCACCAAAAGTCAAGCCAATAAAAAATTTGCATGTACAAACATTTACTCGGTAGTTCATAATTTAGAATTAATACTAGAAAAAATTAAGAGAGGAGTAAATGTAAAAAGAAATACTGAATAAAAATTAAATCGAGCATGCTGTGTGAGTTCATTTACTATTATAGAATATTACTGAGTCCTTCTTTAACATTTTTAAGTCATGAAACTGCGGTGAACCTCGCTATCTAATATACATTAAAACAAATGAACTGTCAAAACGGCGAGCAGTAAACTTAGGATTTGAGGGAACACATTTTAGAGAGGAGCCATTTTGTAGTACACAAATGACTTGTTTTCTTCCCTCGCAGTGTAGCAACAGAAGCTGGTGCTTCAGCTCTTTAAGTGGCTTGGAAGCATAAAAGAGGCTTATCTGCCCCTCTCATTTCTTCAGCCACATAATCAGATGACCTGAGGAGAGCTAAAGAGAAACAAAGACAGTCAACACTTACTCCATTTCTCTATCTATCTATCTATCTATCTATCTATCTATCTATCTATCTATCTATCTATCTATCTATCTATCTATCTATCTATCTATCTATCTATCTATCTATCTATCTATCTATCTATCTGGATCATTTCCTTAAGAGACAATTTGTGTTGGACTTCAAAGAGACAATTTTTTGTAAAGAAATACAACTGGAAGGAACAAAATTCCTTCCTCCTGTTTAAAATAAAGAGAGGCAAAGTTCATGACCTGAGTTCATCCAGTTTGGAGTGAAGACATAAATTAATACACAGGAGTCTGACCACATAGAAACTTTGCGAGTATAATGGGAGTATTATGGAACTTATTTCTGATGGATTTCAGACAGCATTTTTCCTCTATTTATTTTACAATTTTAGTTTAATGCATGCACATAAATAAAGAAAAACATAATGTAAATAATCAGAACTAGAAGAATTTGGAATCAAAGGCAATACAATTATTTGAATAGAAATTTAGAAAAATATACAAATGTCCCTCACACCGCTTCTTCTTTTCAGTTTGACATTGTAGGTAAATAAAATGCTTAAAG